TTGGGTGTTTCCCCCCCCCCCCCCTTTTTCTTTGTATAATTCTTAAAGGTTAAATGTTATATTTTACTGTTTATTTTTATATTGTAACAATGCATTTTTGTGTATTTGGAAAAACTAAGGAACTGTAATAACTTTTCCTTTTAAAGTCTGTTTCATTCATGGTCAGCGGGTAAGTACAAACATTTGCAGTTTTTAACATTGCATAAAGAAAAGGAAATATGTTTACATCTATAATGCATGTTCTTTCTCCAAGTGTGTGGTGCTCAATTGCTGATTGAATACATTTATACATTTTCTGGCTTTTGTGCTGCTCACCTATAGTGAACCAGTGTTTGGATTTAAAAAAATGCTTATATTCTTTTAGAACATGGAACAAAAATGTATATACTTTTTTTTTATGTATCGGAATTCCAAATGGAGGATCTCAAGCATGAAAGTCCCCAATTATTATTTTAACTAAAGAAATTGTAGCAATATCTGTACCAGTTAGTAATGATGTTGATTGACTGGTTTATTGACGGGATGTCCCGGGCAGGGTCGTCACTTGAATTAATGTGGGCTGACGGAACATTATAATGGTGGCAACCCCCATACACTTAAGACTTGTAAAGACTTGTTTAATGGCCCCCCTCGTTACAGGGCGTGAGATGACATCTGTGACATGCTGTTGGTTACTTCAGAAAACAATTTGGCAAGATTAAACCTCCAGATGTCCCTAAAAACTATTGTTGAGAGTTTGTGCTGTATATAGAAAATGTTAACTATAACTGATTGTAGAGTCTGTATAAGCAAGAATAGGCCAAAACAGCTGTGAGAACTTAAGATTCCAGAAAGATCTGCATGTAGATATAAATACCCTGAGACCTTTTTAGACTATGACCCAATAAATTGGAAATGGCAACAGTTTCCTCATAGCACTACATTGATGCTTTCTATGTCACCAACAAGTTTTCTTCCAGGCTTCATCGTGGGGTAAACTGGTAAGCAATGATGGCAAATTTTGCATTCACAATTGTGAATTCACAAAACATAAGATGTTTTGAGCAGCCATTGTAAGGTAATGTAAATCAACTGTTGACGTTGCTGTGGCTATGAGGAAGGACCTCACCTGGACATGGGAAGCATGCCAGTCCATCACAGTCCTGCTTCACTCATGGCATTAATGGCTTATTAACTCTATTTCAGGTCCAAGTCTCCCCTGCCACCTTTGGAGGAAGAAGATGAAGAGTTTGATGACACCCTGGTCTGCCTGGATCCTTGTGAGTGCTTTATATGTTAAGAAGCACGATGATCGATTAAGTTTCTCTTGGACTAACAAACTTATTTATTCACAATGTTTCCGTAGACAATTGTGACCTTAATTTCAAAGTCTCCCGGGACAGATACAGCACCTCCTCTCTTACCATGGAGAGTTTCGCTTACCTTTGGGCAGGTGGCCGTGCTTCCTATGGCGTAAACAAAGGCAAAGCCTGCTTTGAAATGAAGGTGAGTACTGCAGCATGTTTATGCAAACTGATGAGAAAGTGATTATTATTACATTATTTATCTCCTGCATTTGCAGATCTCTGAGAAAATCCCAGTTAAGCATTTAAACAGCAAAAACATGGACTTCCATGATGTCCATGTTGGCTGGTCCCTGGCAAATGGAAGTCTTTTGCTGGGTAAGTGCAGCCAGTTAATATTAACATGCATCTGTGTAGCCACAATGTATGACTGCACAGCCCTATTTCATCATCTGATAATTAATATATGGCTTATTACTGTTTTAGGTGAGGAGGAGCATTCCTACTCTTATTCGAGCAAAGGGAAGAAGACTTCAAACTGTGTGACCGAAGACTATGGGGAGAATTTAGATGAAAATGATGTCATCGGCTGTTTCATTGTAAGTCGTTCACATCACTCTCACACAATAATTGTATTTTTCCCTTTTAGTTTGCATATTCTAATGTACTTCGGTTTTTTCCTTTATCTTGCATAGAATTTTGAAGCTGATGAAGTGGAGATTTCCTACTCCAAAAACGGCAAGGACCTTGGTGTGGCTTTCAAGGTCAATAAAGAGTCCTTGGCCGGACAAACTCTGTTCCCCCATGTTCTTTGCCACAACTGTGCGGTTGAGTTCAATTTCGGTCAGAGTGAGACACCATTCTTCCCTCAGGAGGAGGGCTTCACCTTCCTGCAGCAAATTCCTGTGGATGTGCGTATCAGAGGACCTAAGGGACCTGAGACCAAGAAAGATTGCGAGGTACTTGTTCCCCCTCCTGTGTTTTTTTTTAATTTTTTTTTTTACTGTTTATAAATCTTGAAACATGAATATACACTTATCGTTCAAGAGGTTTTGTATAGAATGTTAAATTTATAATCTTACAAAAGATTTATATTTCAAATACATGCTGTTCTTTTGAACTTTCTATAAAGATATTAGTTTCCACAAAGATATTAAGTAAACCAACTGTTTTCAACATTGACAATACATTTAGATTTTAAAATATATTAAAATAGAAATTGTGTAATCAAATAAATGCAGCCTTGCTGAGCTTGAGACTTCATTTAAAAAATGTTATGGCCCCCAAACTTTTGAACGATAGTGTATAAAAAAAAAATAAAAAAATAAGTTATCTATAAATGTTCACGACACATGTGAAATAACATGAAAATGGTTATTTATTTATTTTTATTTTTTGCATGCATTGACATGATTGTGATCACTATGTTTCAAGGTGATCGTCATGGTCGGCCTTCCTGGATCTGGAAAAACGGCTTGGGTAAATAAACATGTTGAAGAGAACCCTGGAAAGTACAATGTCCTCGGCACCAACACCATCTTGGAGAAGATGATGGTGAGAAACATTCTTCTTAAAAACTTTTTATCTTGTCTGTCTTTAATCTGTCTTATTTTCTTGTCTAATCTCATTTTTTGGACTTGCAGATTGGCAGCATGAAGAGGCAAAACAAAGACACAGCGAAACTCTCAGCCATCTCTCAGCGTGCTCCTTTGTTCCTGGGCAAGTTTATTGAAATTGCCGCCCGCAAAAAGAGAAACTACATATTGGATCAGACGAACGTGTCTGCACCAGCCCAGAGAAGGAAGATGTGTCTGTTTGCTGGCTTCCAACGCAAAGCTGTAGTGGTCTTCCCCACTGAAGAGGCCTTCAAGGAGAGAACACAGAAGAAAGCAGAAACCGATGGCAAAGATGTACCTGAGCATGCCGTTCTGAAAATGAAAGGTAAGACATTGTCATTTCACCACTGCACCTCTAGTTTTCCTTGCTGTCCAAAACTGCGTAGTTTAAATGAATTAAAAACCAACCTGGCACAAAGTAGAAACATCAGGAATACAAAAGTTTGTTTTTACCTACAGGTATCTACACGTTGCCAGAGGTAGGAGACTGCTTCTCCCAGGTCACCTTTGTGGAACTGCAGAAGGAGGAGGCCGTCAAGCTCTTGGAGCAGTACAAGGAAGAGAGTAAGAGTGCTTTGCCACCTGAAAAGAAACCCAACCAAGGCACCGTGACCCCCAAAAAGGGAGGTGGACGAGGCAAAGGGCCTAAGAACCAGTTCGGTAGGGGTGGTGGTCCAGGCCCACGTGGAGGCAGAGGTGGATTCCAGGCCCGTGGAAACTTCAGAGGATGTAAGTCGCTTTTTATTTTTGAATTTTTTGTGAACTGTCATGTTAAATTTACATTGAGAATTTAAACCTAATATTTCCTCCTTTTAGTACCAGGACCACCTCGTGGTTTTAATCGTCACCCACGTGGCTACATGCCACCGCCACCACCTGTCTTCCGAGGAAGGTTCCATAGCCGAGGTGGAGCCGGTGGGATGCACAGCCGGGGAATGGTCCCCAGGGGTGGGCACATGAGAGGCGGCAGAGGTGGAGCAATGGGCCGCGGAGGGCATGCCAACAGAGGTAACATGCACCGCGGCGGTGGACAAGGCAGACCCAATAACAGAGGACACTTCCAGCAGGTTAGTATGTCTTTTGCGACTACACTACTGTTGAAAGGTTTGGGGTTGGTAAGAATTTTTTTTTTATGCTTTTGAAAAGTGTCTTCTACCTACAAGACTACATTTATTTGATCAAAAATACAGTAAAAACAGTAATATTGTGAAATATTATTAATATTTAAAATAATATATATATATACATTTTTTTTAAAATATATTTTAAAATGTAATTTATTCCTGTGATGGAAAAGCCAGTCTTCAGTGTCACTTGATCCTTCAGAAGTCAATATGCTGATTTTGGCTTGTAATAAACATTTCTTATCAATCTAGAAAACATTACTAGAAGGTATGGAAACTTGTTTTTGCCATGGGATAAAAAAATGTAAAAGGGTCGTTGCGACTTGCAATTCTAAGAAAAGTCTAAATTGCGAGATGTCACAACACAAAAAAACTCTTGCTGACCCCAAACTGCTGAATGGTAGTGAAACCTCAATTTGACTTTGACTTGGAGAGTAATTTTGGATTTTCACATTGTTAGAAGTTCCGTGGCAGAGGAGGCCATCAGCAGAATCGTGGTGGTTTTGGCAACAAAAACGGATCTTTTGCCCAAGCCTTCAACCAGAGTTGGCAACAAGGGGTAAGTACAGCTATTATATGTCCCATTGAGGAAGCTAATATTTAATAGGGTCACATAAAAGCCATACATTGTATAAACTTCCAATGAGAAATGAGAACTTGTTCAAAATCTTTAGATTGGCTATGATTTCCAAAAGTATTATATAATGAAATCAAATTGTAGTCCATCTGACTGATGAAACTTTCTTTGACCCTTTAGTTCTGGAACCAGAAGCCATGGAATCAACAGTACCACCCAGGATATTACTAAATGTGCATTTGTATTAAAGACTCATGGCCTCTTGTGCACTGGAATGCACAGCCACTGAATAACCATCCACTTTTATGGTCCTTGTTTATTATAATTTTTTAAAGGAAGTCCATTTTTAAATAAGAGAAGCAAGTGGCAAACAAACATTCCACCTACTGAGGTGAACAGTCTACGTTCTACATAGATGTGTGCTTGCTTCACTCTTAGATTTTTGTAAAATGTATTTCCTCCCCCTTTTATTTTGTATCACAGCTTTGATATATTGTTATATCAGGAATCCCAGCATTTGTCTTGTGCGAGGGATGCTTTGAATTTCAGGGTTGTGAATTTTATTCTCTAAAATGTCATTTTTACTCAATGTAAATTATTATTTTTCAGGTTGTTTTTTTTTGTGTGTGTAAGAGTTATAGTGTTTAAGAATCCCTGTGAACCTGAATCTTTTAGAATCTTTTGTCAATAATCATTCATAATTACGCAGCATCTCTGCCCTTCATGTTCAGTGGAGGAGTGAAAATATTGTCCTCTATTTACTTCTTATAGATTCATGTTTTTCTTTGTTAGCCCAGACTGTAACAGTTACATCATATGTTTGCAATAAATGATGTGCTTGCTTTTCTATGACCTTTTATGGCTTTTGACTGATATCTTGAACAATCCATTTCAAAGAGCCTTTGAATGTCAATCAGATTTGTCTCTTTAATTCAGCACCATCAGACTCTACTTTATTGTCTTCATCTTGTAGGGCTTACGCTGGAAAGATTTTTAAATCAATTTAGCCAGTTTGATTTATAATGTTTCTTTTGCACTGCATAATTTTACGCATTTGTGTCATCTAAGAAACCAAGAGAAGCCACAATGAAACCTGTACATTCATCTGAAGTTAAGCACTTGATTGTGCTTATTGGTTTACACAATTCAACAAAGCTGTCGATTTATAACTCCATCATAACGACTGCACTAAACTTACTAGTACTGTTCATGGAGTAACATTTTATAGCAACACTTTTTAAAATAGCTTTGCGAAATATTTAATGCAAACGATATTGTTTTAACTGAGTAACCGCTACGTTGATCTATGTAATAATGCAACTAACCTGTTTCTACTGTACATTAAAATTACATTATAGAACGATATTTAGACCATTTTACAACAGGAAATGTCCTAAAAAGTTTCCTTTGGGATTAATTTGTCAAATGGTGGCCTTGACAACTGTTTTAGATCTAACAGCCAGCAAATAAGCAAGTTCTTTTATATGTTAAATTCTCAAATGCATTACTAATGTTACATGGAGAGAGCTGTGAAATACTGTAGAGTTGACTGGATTTACTAACTGATATGGATTTTCTCGAATTGCATAACCTTCTTTTTGATACTCATCTTTGAAACCACAATAATATCACATACAGCCCATAATCCCATCAGTGAGACATCCTGATTTTCATCAAGCCAGGCCCTTGATTTGTTTGAATTAATCTATTTCTTATAAAGCGCCAAATGGCCAAAGAAAAAGGGCAGCTATTTTTGACTTAAAATTGGTGTATTTTATCATGATGTAATAGTTTAAGTGGAATATTTGAACTATATACCATTTAAATTGATGTAAAAGTAACTTATTTCAGGAAGTATTGTTTTTTTTTCTTTGTCTTTTGTTTTTTTCTGTAAATGATTTCCTGTGGGATGAGATAATGACCCTGCCCTTTAATAGAATAAGTGTTTTTTAACTGGATAGCATGGCATGAGAGATTTGTGATGATACTGTTTTACTACACAGACACTGCTTGTGCAAAATACGCTATTTTGAGGATAAAAAATATCTTTACTAAACTGTACTAAAAATGTGGCATTGTGTGTTCTTGAGAGATGGCAGGTGGTACGTTGTTTGTATTTTGGCTTGATTTTTCAGCGATGAATGTTAAAAGTGTTTCATAATGTAAGGAAATGTGTCATTTAATAATGTAATAAACCTCTGAGATAAATCATTGTGTTTTCTCACTGAATTGTTCTCTAAATGCAAAATATTTCCATAATATAACTTAGTATAGTTACAATTGGAACTGTATAATAACAGTTTAATATGTTTAATATATAATATATTTTTGGGATAGTTCACCCAAAAATGACATTTTTGCCATCATTCACCCTCAAGTTGTTCCAAACCTGTGTGAATGTTACTGGTCCCCACTGACTTCCACAGTATTTTTTTTCCACACTGAAAGTCAATGGCTACCAGCAACTGTCTGGTCACCAACATTCTTCAAAATATCTTTTGTGTTCAACAGAAGAGAGAAACTCATACAAGTTTGGAACAACTTGAGGGTAAGTAAATGACAATTTTTTTTTGGGTGAACAATCCCTTTAAATACAGTTATTAATACAGTAGATTCTGCTGTCATGAAATAAATGAATAGAGAAATTAAAAGGACATCAAGGTCTGATTGGAGAACTGGTATTTGTATATTTACCACAAATTTTTTTGTAAAATCGCAATGTACTTTGTAACAGAACCATTTGCACTGTTAGGTAAGTCATGTTTAAAGAAGGATCTTGACACTTCACTTAAATTCTACAAATTGTTTTGTTTAATAAGTGATTATTTGTGTGTATAGAGTAAACAAAAACATAACTGCCTTGTGTACTTATGTCTGGGCTCCATGTGGCCATTTGCAAATACTGGAATATGCACATATTTATTTGGCTGACTGAGAAAATCAGTGAATGAGTAGAGAAAGTTTCAATGAAAAATAGTTTAATTTATATTCAGTCAACATGTTGACATATACAACAACCCCATTCTATTTACTGCTCAAAATATAACATCTACAAATCAATCTTTTCACTTCATACGGCATCATATACAAATGCAAAAATAAATGCATATCAATTTAGCAATATTTACAAATTTATACAAAGTGCTTGAGCTATCTCAATTAAGGGTTAAGTTGCCAACACCCTTTCTTAGCCTAATAGCTTTTAAGTACATTTCGTCACGTGGCCGATGGCAAATGGCATATTCATACAACTGAAATATTATCCATTGCGCATCCACACTTTTCTACAATCATATTTGGGAATTCGGCTACCTCAATTTCAGTATAATCTCCCTTTTTTACTAAATACATCATCGGTAGCGGCGCGCTCTCCACAACCGCGCACTTCCTCTCTCCGTAACCGTAGTTACGCTTGGGCTGCCGGCAGCCGCCGTTGCACCGGAACGCCTGATACCCGGATGGTTCTATGATCCAGTACTGGGTCCAAGTCAAGGCTCGGAAATTGATGAAGTATTTTTCCCTGCAGCACATTTCACTGTCTTTGTTGGCTTCACAGTCTCCGCTAGACCTGCAACGTAAAGAATAAAAGAATATTAACACATTGTACGTTTTAAATTAAACACATTTTTATTTTTGGGAAATTCCTTCCCGTAACACTTTACACCACGGAGCCCATATTACACAAAAATCACATTAAAATGTATTTAATTAGAATAACAATAGAGTGATTCTTCTGAGTAGGCTACATTTTTTTTAAAATAAATTCCACTAAAATTAACTTAATTTTTTTTTACATATAGCTATAAAATATTTTTTTAAAGTTTAAACAAACAAATAAATAAAGTAATTATGTGTATAATGTGCCATATTTACAAAAATTCTCAGTAAAATTTAATTAGGCTAAGTAGATAGGCCTAGATATACATGTGTACTACAGACAGATAAACTTATATATAAATGATTATTATTTTTTTTTGTAAATGTGGCAAATTGTGCATATAAATAGGCTACTTTAAAAAAAAGTTACACTGCATTAAAATGAGGTAAAAGTAACCCAGGCAACAAAACATATTTGAATATATTTAACTTAATATATTCAAGACTTTTTTCACAGTTTATAATACAAGGTATAGCCTTGTCTCCAGTAAGAAATCTCAAATTAAGTTAATGATGTTTATTAGCATAATGCTGCTTTGAAATTAAGCCACGCTTACCCAAACTCCTCGAGGTTGAGGGTGTAAAGAACAAGCTCAGGTTTTCCCAGAGTGTTGTCGTTTGGATCTTGAATTGTGAAACGGACACACTTGGCCATTTCTGCCGCGTAACTGCCGGGTCTCTCGCCCTCGATCCACACCTCAAGGTGCATGGGCATCTCCATTCGCTTCTTCGACCAATAGTGCACCGCCTGGGTCACATCAAAGCTTTTCCAGCCGGTTTCGTGAATGGGAATCAACCTGAGGAGGTAATGATTGTGACAATTAGCATGCTTGTTCCTTAACGCCAATCAGCAGTGGAATTAGCATAATGAAGAAAGAATAAAGACTGTCTGTGGCCGTCTCTGCTTACCTGGAATCCACTAGTGAAGTTCGGTTTGACCCGTCTTCCAGAGGTTCCACCCAGTAGATGCTCACCCGGGCGTTGTTGACGGGTCTGTGGCCCTTTCTCTCTGGTATGGAGCGTTTGTGTGGGGCTTTCTTGAACAGTTTCAGTTCTGCCATGGTCACTTCACTGTTCTCAGGAATCCTTGATGTCATCTCAAACACCACGCGTTGACGTGTCGTGTCAGAATATACAAATTCACCAGAGATGTCTGGAATAGACGAGAGCGATTTTTAACCAACTATATTTACATTTTGCTTATTTAAAATTCATTTGTGAATATAGCAGCATTAGTTGTTTATTTCTATGGCACAATTGTTGTAGCCTACTAAATTATAGTATTTAATTTCATATCATGTGCATTTCCATTTTCATTTTGCGTATTAATCTTACCTGCATTGCCAGGGATTCCCCTCAGTATGCCGGCTAAACTGGGAAGCGAGCGGCGTCTTCTTGCGTGGTGCAGTTCCAGCATGGAAATATATTTGTTCTTAATGTGCGTTGGAATCACAAGGTTCTCCGGATCCCTCTTGTGAATTTTCGGAACTTCACTAAGTCCCAGTTTCTTCAGCAGAGCGTCTTTCATATCTTCGTTGGTGAAACCCCTCACCATTGCGAAAAGTGCTGCGCAAAGGAAGCACGCGGCACGGATTGAGGACATCTTCCACGTGAAGGTGCTGGAGAGGTTCTGACTCTGTGCTGCTGTTCTCGGGCTGAGATGACTCTGCTTTGACAGCGGCCCGTCCTTATATGCGCCCATGAGACCCCCAGTTGTTCGCACTTTGACAAAGGGGTGGTGACTGACATCAGAGGGAAGGTGATACATGAAAGCCATGATTCATCGGAGAAATTAACGCAAAATGTACAACTTAAACAAGAATAAGAATTCAAATAACCTCTTTTAATTGAAATAGAATAAGATAGATAGATAGATAGATGATTGATAAGCATGTAGATAGATAGATAGATAGATAGATAGATTATTGATAAGCATGTAAATAGATAGATAGATAGACAGATAGATAGGTAGATAGATAGATAGATAGATAGATGGATGGATGGATGGATGGATGGATGGATGGATGGATGGATGGATGGATGGATGGATGGATGGATGGATGGATGGATGGATGGATGGATGGATGGATGGATGGATGGATGGATGGATGGATGGATAGATTTTTAACATTATGTAATACCAAAATGTGTCACAAGATCTCTTCATAATTACATAATTATGATAATAAACATAA